ACTTATTTAGCAGAGATTTAAGTGGTGCTTACCATTTGCCAGGCACCGTTTTTAGCACTTTACCAATATTAACTCATTTAATCTCATAACAACATTATAAATTAGGTTTCATTCTCCTCTACAGATGAGATAAAGAAGGCAGAGACAAGTTAATAAAACACTTGTTCAAAGTAGGCAGGATTTGAATCTAGCTACTTTGACTTTAGAAGCTCTGCTTTTAACAATTAGACTCTGATGCCTACAATTCTACTAATGAAGATAGAATAATCTTCTATTACACTTAACACATGTAAACTACAATTTAACTGAAGTATGCTATAAGCGGAGATTGGGTGAGGTTGCCAATACCAATCCTTTGGTATCAGGAAATCTCCACTTCCTGCAGGAGACCTGTTGCATTGTATATTCATGTGAGCATCTAACATATGAAAGATATTAGTAACCTTCATATACATAAAAACAGATGTCTTTTATATTTTCAATAAAAATTTTTGTATAGTCCTCAGAGGTAGGTGCTCCTCTCTTTGGAAATTACTGCTGTAGAATCTGAATGTATATGGAGGAAGAGCTAAAAATATTTGCTTGTATCTACTGCCCAGGTTGGAAGTTCTGCTATGTATAAATGTATAAGATGTGTTCCCTCTGGACATGTGGATATACATATTTTTATTTATTGAAATCATGTCAGGCTAAAATATATTGGCATAGATAAGTTAGCACTATATTAACAATATAATTTGAGCTCTATCATAAATGTGTCACAGAATACTTTCTAAAGATTTTCACAAGGATAACGTGAAGCATTAAAATTAATTTATTGGTTTACTCTTCTCTACTTCTGGCATTGAAAGGATTTACTGGTTGAAGATGTATACAAGTAGTCCATACCATTGAAATGACTGGAAGAAATTATCTCAGGACTCTTAAACAAATTTTTCACTTATGTTTCAGATTGGACACTTTTTTCATTTCTATTTCATAGAAATATTAAGAACTAGTGGCGTGGTGGATGGATTCGTGCACATTGAAAGGAAATTTATTAGAAGAAAGATTTGTGTGGTAATTACATTACTGCAAAAAATTACATGTCAAAATAGTATATATGATATAGTATTATAAAATTGAGATACAACATATTTTAATATCGCTATTCATCCTTTCTTTATAAGAGAAGTGTCAGAGATGAAAGAAAATTAGTAAAATGTATATGAAAATAATATATAAGTTGATTAATAAATCAACAATAACAACATAATATATAAACAACAAAGACATGATAAAAATAACAAAGACAAAATAGAAAAACAACATTGATAAAAACAATGGTTGATAAACTGATTAATAAATAAACAACAACAAGATATAAAAATAACAAAGACATGACATAAAAACAACTTTGATAAATTGATTAAACCCATTCTAATATCTCCCTGTACACCACATTTAGAGTAAAAACACAAATACCAATGGACTGTAGTTCTAATTTAGGGAGTCAAATGTTATATGCAGATTCTTCAAAGGGGGTTGACGTCCTCAACTATCCCCACCATTGTTCAAGGATCATCTGTATTTACAGATTAATGCAGGCACATGAATGAGAATTCTTAAGATGCAACCAAAATATGTATTAATCACAGCTGTTAGGTGTGACTAGCAATATACTACAAAGTATGAAAGGAAGATTGTAGTATTTTGTTCCACGTATTAATGGTGCTAAAACTAAATTCTTTATCAGTCCTATCCCAAATTATTCTTACACAACTAGAAACAGCTTTCTTTCTCTGAAATATTTTTCCTCCATCTAAGTCATGCATATCAGAAAATCATTCTGCAGATTGATTATCCAGGTTGTTGTTCAAAATTCCAAGTTGAAACTTTCAAGAGATGAGTGAAAAGGAAGGAATAAGCAATACCTACAGGAAGTTTTCTGAATCAATACCTGCAGAAGACCTCCAAATAGGTGTGCTAAGTGTGTGCACAGACAATATTGCTAGGTGTTGCTAATTCAAATTCATTATTATTTTAAGTTGCATCTATCAAACAAGAAATCATTATTGAGCCACGCTTTTGCATAGGCATTGTGTTTGAGTGTAGCTAGAAGCTAAGATAATGAGGTTCAAGCTCACATTTCATGACACCAGGGATGTAAATTCAACAAACCCATGGTTATACTCAAGATGTTACTAGTAAATGTAACATCTTTTAGTCATAAATGTAGACTGCTGCCTGTCTTCTACCCATGGTACTGTAAAGATGTAACATAAATAAAGTTTTTGAACTAAAATTCTTAATAACTATTTTGCATTAATAAAATGACCCACTTTATGAAGATGTAGGGAAGCAGAATTTACCACCCTGAAATATCTCTCTTTGGCATAAGTATTATTTTAAGCTGTTTAATTTTTAAGAAACAGCAGACATAGGAAAAACTCTGGAAACCAAGTAGAAGTTACCCTCTGTAAAGGGCATTAACATTCATAATGGAAACCTGTTTATAAGGGGTCTCCCTGGCTGTACCAGGAAGAATAGAATATCTAAATCTCTAGAAACTGTTATCAGCTGAGAAGGCATGAACTGAAATCTGCATGACAACCTTACCTTTGTTCACTGTGCTGTTTCTGGTACTCTCCTGTAACTGACTTCCCACTCCCAACATCTTTTGTCTTCAATTGGAGGTGGCTTTTAAGGTGATGACTTCATCCATATTGGTAAATTACTCAGTTTTGGTGGTTACTGGTCTCTCCCAAGTGTGGATGAAAAAGGGGCACTGTAATAATTCTAACTGAAAATAACCTCTCAGGGTGATCTGATCATTAATTCCTTTCTGGGCAGGTCATGGTGGGTAGCCATTCCCAGGCCTATAACAGGTTTATCTTCACCTTAAGCAAGGCCTGGCCATTGTTTCTGTACATCTAGGTTACACACCTTTGAAGGCCTTTTTTAGACCTCTCAGTGGTGTCACCACTTCATGAGAGCCCACAACCTTGGTAACTATCCAATAATCCAATCACAGTGATTTTCCTGGCTTCCTTTCTCCCAACTTTATGTAATCTTCCCTTCTCCCCGCCCCCTCCCCCTTAATTCCAAATATACAGGGTGGGGCAAAAGTAGATGTCCGTGTTTGCATGGAAAATAATACACTAACTAAAAAATAATAATACAAGAAAAAATTACAACTGTAAGCCTGCTTTTGCCCTGCCCTGCATAAAAGAAACTGCAAAACTGTTATTCTCTGGAGCATTTGAGATCTTAACTTCCTAGCATGTCATCAGTTTGGCTCAAATAAACTCAAATTTTTATAAAAATTCTCTACAGGTTTGGACACTCTTACATTGACAAATTATACAGGAGGTATACATATTATTAAATTTTGTTTTTCTCCTGTTAATCTGTCTCATATCAATTTGCTTATTAGACTAGCTAGCAGTTACTTAGAAGGCTAAGGAAAACTTTTCCTCCTGGCCAAAGATAAGGAAGTTGTCATACTAAATGACATACCAGAGTTATACAAACAATTGAGGATAACTTAGTCTTATACATTGAAATGTGTAGGCTTCCAGATATAAGTATCAATGTCTTTGAAAAATAGGACTGTAGTTTCATTTCTGGAATCAAAGAGCAAGACACAGGGGATTGCTCCTATTTTGGAGAGTCCTTCCTTGCAGACAGTGATGATAAACCCATGTAGGAACCCCATAAAATACATTAGCTGCTTTCCAACACTTGGTGTCTTTGTTTCCTAAAAATGTGGAAACCAGCTGCAGGTTGGACAACGACTCTCCCAAGTACCTACTCGTATAAAAACGTATACCTCTTATTAAACTTAAACTTTATTGCTTCACCCTCCCTTGCCTGGAATAATAGTGTGATTAATCTGTCTTTTGTTTGGAGTATGTATTTCTTCCTTTCGCTTATTAAGAGATATCCTGTATGCTATTGAATTTATTATAATTCCCACATTAAACTTGTGCTAAATAAATTGCTGGCAAAGACAACTCAGTTTCTGAGAATCACTTTTGCTGCCTCAAAACAAAATGTATTGAATACATTCAGCTTCTTGGATGGCTAAAACGATCTGTGGGAGATGGAGAGTTTGTGGGGAGGGGAGCGTATAAACAAATTGGGAAGAGCCTAGAGAATAGTACACTTCACATGGTGACCAAAGCTCTGGGCATTTTTCCTATGTCCCTGTTCTCTTGTGAGGGGCCCATATCATCCCACTTAGCAAATCATCACCCTCTAGGTCTTTCTCCTTTGAATCCTCTCAGTGGGATCAGTGGGGTTCAGAAGACTGTTTCCTCTTTGGAGCCCAACACTTACTGGCTGTTCTTCTGGGAAGAGGTGGGTGAGGGAGTGCAGGGGCTCACCACCTCCTCCCCAACACAGTGCCTCTAAGTACCCTTTGAAGCTGGTGGTCGTAGTCCAAGCATCCCATAAACAGGCAGTGGTTAGCAGTGAATTTGGGGTTGGGTGAGGGAGGGTTGGAGTCTTAGGATGGTGCTTAGAGGGTTATCTTGCCAGAAGGCAAACTCTGTTTGAGACATGGAGAGCAACTTTGGTGTATAAGAAGTTGATTCCTTTTAAGAAGGAAATGGGTAAGGGGTTAGGTCCTAGGGTCCCTTGGAAGGGAGGGACCACAGGGAGTGTGACCTCATTCAGCTTCCTACTTCTTATGGAATGTAATTCAAAACTGAACCCCACCCAGTCTTCTTTCCTCAAGGTCAGTAACCCTACTCCATGTCCAGCCTGACTCTTGGCCCCCCTGTCCAGAGCTGTATATACTGAATCCTTGATTCAGCGTTTAGGTCTCCAGGGTCCTTCCTGGAGCAAGTGGGTTGAATGAAGTAAAACAAACAAACTAACTAAAAAAAAAAAACCAACCCTAAGTTATTAACTGCCTAAAGTGGGAAAGCAGGGAAGAGAGATCCTTTCTATCTCCTGGCTAGCTCACTTTATTCATGTGTGTATCACTTTTGCTTGGGGCTCTCTCCAAAATAGAAGGCTGACTCCGGAGGTCAGCCCCAGCTGACTCAGGTGAGTATCCCCAGCCATCCGGGGAGGGGATATTAGTGTCACTGAACTATGTATACCCGTTGCCACACATCCCATCCCCAAACTGCCATGGCCTTCGGCTCCTGTTCAGCTCATAACCTCACATCACTGTCTCCCTCTCATCACTGTCTCCCTCTCCTCATCTTACTTCCTCAGCCAGGCAAGCTGACCGAGGCCTTCAAGTACTTCCTGCAAGGCATGGGCTACAGTGAGTATGGGGGTCAGAGGCTATCATGAGGACAAGGGATTGCTGCTAGAATGAGGGATGGCCACTGAGGGTGTACTGAGCTGCATATCTGGCGCTTTGGCCAGACGGGTCATGCTGTGCTGTCTGTTCCTAAAACACATAGATAGGAAGGTACTGACATCTGGCCAGGATTTGAGATATGGTCTCATTACCCCTTCCCAGCACGCAGGCCTTCTTTCTCAGAGGGGCCGGAAGTCTCATTCCAAATTTGGGAGACAAAGGACTGGATAAAGTATAAATTAAGAGAGTTTCCTCCATATTGGGGAGGGGGTGGCAGAATTTGATAGACACATTTTTCTCTGGGCCTCCACAAAATTTAATAATAAAATGTAACTCTTGCAGTCAGCGCTGCTGTTCAGCCTTTGCTTCGGCAGGGTGCTGTATCTGTGGTCAGCTGGCCAGCTTAATAAAGGCTCTTAAATTTAAATTCTGAGTCAGTGGTCTATCTCGCTGAGTGAACGCATAACAAGGGGAGGAACCATTTAGGCTAATTCCTGGACTTACCACCATCTGCCAAATCAAGCTCATTGACCCCTGGCCTCATTTGTAACTCACAAACCCAGCTCTGATTTTCCAGCCCCTCTTCCCCTCCTCCTCTCTGACTGTCTGCTTATCCTTCTGTCTCCACAGTGGCCTCATCCTGCATGACTCGCCTGTCCTGATCTCGCACAGCTTCCCTGACAGGGCAGCATCCATTGATGGCAGCCGGTCCTGCGCTTGAACCTTGTCCCAGAGCAGCGAGTCTGGGACTCTCCCTTTAGAGCCCCAGGGCACACCATGGAGGTCTCCAGTTGAATGGCCCTTATTGCCCTGGTGTGGGACCCAGCCCTCACCTCCCCCAGCACTAACCTGGGAGATGCATACAACACTGGGCCAAAATGAGCAAGGGAAGATGGGCAGATCATGTGAGGAGATGACTTTGATCTTAGATCACTACCCTAACCTTGCCCTCTAACCTGTGAAACCCCTCAGCTCATGGGAGAGCTGTCTCAATATCTGTTAGGGACCCAGACCCCTAAATGATCCTTCTCCCTCATTCTGTTGTTAAGGTGGAGAGGGCATGCATCCCCTCTCCCTAATTTAGGTGTCTGTAGATGAGGGATAAGTGGTCATTGTAGATGTCCATGGTGCCTGCCCCAGACTCTCCCTACTCATCCCATTGCAAGGGTAAGGCACTTGGTGCTGGGTCTCTATTCACCAAAGCAGATATGGCTTCTCATGAACCCTTCAGATCTCTGAAGGATATGGGCCTAAATAAATGTGTCAGGGAGGCTTGTTGGTGGGTTAGTGGTCCTCAGGATGTGATGGAAATATCCGGTGTGTGAATGGAAGTTGGACTGGGAGGTGGTAGTCAATGAACAAGTTTGAGGGAAGGATTGGAGCTGGGCAACAGGAAGGGGCCTGGGGTCATTGGCTCCACTAACTTTGTAACTGTCTAGATAGTGTTTCTAGAGTGGGAGGGGGAGGGGTTCAAGCCAGGGCAGGACTGCTTGGGGCTTAGCATAGGGGTTGGAAGGGCTACCTTGGGGCTCTGATCACTGTGTTATGTGTGTAGGGTGCTCTCCTGTCTCCCACAACTTCTGCTGTAACAATAAACTATAGAGGAATCTGAGCACTATTATTCTGTCTCAGTATGCCTGCATCATGCCCCTTTCCTACCCCATCCCTGCCCAACTCACATTCTCTTCTCCAAGTGACACAAACCATGGGAGGGGGCTTTTATAGCATAAACACTTTACAAAATGTGACTGGCCCTTATTGAATGGAATGGACAATGGTATTGTCCTTGATATTGATAATATCTTCACATTTCAGGAGGGGCTACTTAGATCTTAGAAGACTTCCTTCTCAGTTATTGAGAAATGCCATGGGATTTCAGAGATGTCACCAACATCATAATCTTTTAAAAAATATATATTTCTATTGATTTCAGAGAGGGAGAGAGAAAAACATCAATGATGTGAAAGAATCATTGATTGGCTGCCTTCTGCACGCCCCCTATTGGGGATTCAAGCCCACAACCCAGGCGTGTGCCCTAACTGGGAATCAAACCATGACCTCCTGGTTCATAGGTCGACATTCAATTAGGAGTCACACCAACAGGGCAACCAACATTATAATCTTAAAGGAGGAGGTACAGAAAACTGACTGACATGCCCAAAGACATCTTGTGACCACCTTCCTGCAGGATCCTCTATGGGGTCACCTAGATTCCATTTTAGGTGGTTCAATATGATCAGCAGACCACACCTCATGCAGGTTCTAGAGAGGTTATTGGGTTGCTCAGTTGATCCCAATCTAAAGATTCCTTCAGGTGAGTCACAGCAACCAGGAATTCCTCCTCCCACATAAATCCAAGTTTGGGCAGTTAATTAGACTATATCTGTGGTTCTTTGAAAACCTTCTCAACAATTATGAACAATAATCATCAAGAGAACTTGAGGTATTTTGTGGCTGTTGCAGGTGATCCTTGGGCTCTTGGGGCACAAGAAGTAAAATTGAGACGCACTTTATAGTATTATTGTCCAGAGTACTGTGGATGGAATAGTACAAGGTCATTTGCCAGATTACTTTGTAGAAACCCCATGGGCAATTATTCACTTTCCTCGGTGAAACAGACCTGATGACTAATGCAGCTTGATGTCTAGCGCTGACACACTGACGTGGAAGTGGGCATGGAACATGCTCTTGATGCTTGAGCATTTCATCACTCTCATGGCACCGAACTATTTTAAATGCAGTAGGCCAGGATCAGGACGGGTGAGGGTGTTTGGTGACCATGAACAGGGCAGGAAGCAGGTGCTTAAATGTCACACTGAGGAAAAGAAACTGCATAATTGGAATCACTGGCATAACTAGCTCCTAGGTAAACAAAACATGAGGAAAAGGCAAAGAGTTCCAACCAGCATCAGCCTTGACTGCCAATAGCTGCTGCTGTGCCTTATGGAAGGGAAGGTGGGTCTTCTCAGCACATTCAACTGCACAGTAAACACTGTTATGTTAGCAGAGTTAACTTTGGAAGAAGAAAATCTCATTTCTGTGTAAAATCTGAGTGCGTGTGTATGTACCTGCCATGGGGTGGTATGTGAAGTGGGTGATGACCATGTGTGTCTCTTGCCTATAGATGTCCCTGCATAAGAAGCCCAAGTTAGGAAGAGGGAGAGAGGCTCTCTGCTGGGTGCCAGGGAGAGGGGTGTGCTGTCCTTGGCTGACCTCTCTACTTTGTTGGTCCTACACATTCCAGGCGAGCCCATGGGGACGCAGTGCCCCCCTGTGGTTATCGTGGTTCCTCCTATCTTTCCCCAGTTCCCAGTTCCCTTCCTGAGTCTCCCATGGTCTTCCTGAATCTACACAGTAGTTACATAGTGCAGGCCTGATACCACGTGGTGGCTCCTGTCCATTCTCGAGATCAGAGCTCAGAGGCTCACAGGAAAGGGGGGTGACTTCATAGAAGCTGAACCACAAACTCCTTACTTTTTGTCTCTGCTTCAGCCTTAGGACTCCTGTTTCTCTCTTTCTTTCAATCTCAAGGAATGTGTATCCCTGACTCTAGGGACAAAAGTCCAAGGTAGCTAAGAGATGGCTCATTGGAAAGGAGAATAAAACTGTGGAATACAGTGATGAGAGCATTGCAGTGTCCGCTTGAAAACTGTGGAACTCATGAAGAGATTTTAAAGGGTAATTCTCTGAAGTACACAGACAGTGAAACTGTAGCAGGAGGGATAAATAATAAGTTTTGGAGCACTACTTGCCGAGCACCTGCAGGCTGCTGGTATTTCTCTAACAAAGGCCTCAGCTCTTAATGGATAGCTCTTGAGTTTCTGGTAACTGCTCCTTCTTTTCAGCCAAGGTAACAGCATTGCTATCACTCAGCCCCATGGTGGTCCATCATCACTTGTTGCTCTGTCCTAATCCTGGCCACACCTTCTACACACTCTCTTTTAAACTTGCCTCAATTATCCAATGTGCTCTCTGCTTTCTCCTGAGACCCTAACACACAGGACAGTAGGAACAGGTAAGGTAAAGATGAGGATGGGAAGGTAAGAAGAGAATCTGTATATTGAGGTTTTCTTAGCATTACAAAAACATGGGTTTAAAGCCTAGTTAGTTAGGTGATCAAGCTATTTAACTTCAGAGTGCGCTTCCCTGGACTTTCTATGGGGATAATATCTACCAGGCAGGGTTGGGAAGGGGAGGTAATGTATGTGGAAGCTACATCAGAGCTCCTGGCACATAGCAGATGCTCCATGTGGAAACTATCATCATGACAACATACTAGGTCCTGTTCTGTGTTACGTGTGAGTGCATTTAGCACTGAAGGAAAGCAGAATAGGATGGGTGTCAGGGAAATTACTTCTTCATCATTTTTATTTAGCTTTGCTTTTAGCTTGGCTTCTCACTGATCCCTGGGTGTGTGAGCTGGGCTGGTGAGGAGGTTTCTATTCTGAATTTGTGGGAAGGGGAATGGGAAGGACAGAAGACAGGAATGAAATGAGATGAGAATGGAACTGAGGAGACCTTGCCCATGTTAAGGCCACTTGAGCTTCTACACTGAAAGTATTTGAAGGGGCAAACTGGTGAGGGTGCCTGAGCTCACAGGGCACACCTCCTCTTTCCCTGTCTTTCCACCAAGTCTGAGACATTCCTCCACCTCGAGGGTCATAGCCGTCCTGCTCCTCCTCAATTCCAGATAACCAGTTGTTTTATTTGTGCAGTTTTTAAGAGGAGCAGCACATTGTAGGGGTTACTTGCCTGAAAGGCAAATGGTCCAGTGAAGTGGGGTCAGACATATAGTGGCAGGTAAGTAGGCAGTTGCGGTAGAACTAAGTAATCACCCTTGGCATTTATCCAGCTCCTTCTCCCTTTCCAAAACACTGCTTCTTTTTTTTTTAAATTAAATTACAATTGACATAGAATATTACATTAGATACAATATATGTACACATAGTGATTAGACATTTATATAACTTATAAAGTGATCCCTCATAAATCTAGTACCCACCTGACACCATATATAGTTGTTATATCATTGATATTCCCTATGCTCTACTTCATATCCCCAAACACACTACTTCTTAATCCCACAGCACAAGGCAGCTAGATGGAGACTGAAGCTCAAAGACAGCAAATGTATCCCCGAGGCCACACAGGACTCAGTGTGAAAAACAGAAACCAGGTGGAAGTAGTCTCCATTGAGCCTGATCTGAAGTGTCTGTTGAATGCATAGGCGGTTGATAATCTATTATCAGGGACTGGGGTAGGTGGGGTTAGTGTAGGAAAAAAAATATAGATGCCCAATGTTTATTTTTAAACCTCTTCTCTAAATTCTGGGAAATCTGGCTCAGTATTTCAACACCTGTGGGTAAGGTGAGAGCAGGTTGTTGGAATTTCAGCAATTCTCCCATGTCTGGGGGACAAGGCTGCAAGTGACACAATGGCTAGGGCCTCTGATTCCAGGAGAAAAGACTGCATCCAACACTCACCCTCCCACTTCCTGCTCCACTAGGCAGCAGTTGGGTAATCTGGAGAAAGGAACTATAGAATGCTTGAAGGGGGAGGTTAAAACGGACATTTATTACACACAGTAGCAAAAATGGAACAAGAGTCAAATCTGCAGTGATGGTCTTTATATCAATTCTCCAAAGTATAGGCACTCAACCTAAAATAAACGTCCCTTTCTCAGTCCTGGATGAGGAATGGGATCTCAAGTAGGAAAGGCTGGGATCCAGTTCATGGGGATGATGCCCAGTGAATGCCACTTAGTCTCAGTGGAGAAATGTCTGAGGACCAAAGCCTTTTGGGAGGTGTGTCCTGGATCCATCAAAAAGTCAGGAATCTCTCAGGCCCACAAGGCAATTAAGGCCATGAAGACAAAACCAACGGTTACACAGGCCCACTTGAGCATAGGGGCCTCAGGAGCAGCTAGCTCCCTGGGCAAAATTTCTAGGAAGGTGACATACAGGAAGGTACCAGCTGCAACACCCTCTAACACAGCCTGGGCTAAGCTGTGCCCCACTTCTGATTCCCCTGTAGGCACAGCCAGCCCCAAGGCTATGCCCAGGGGGGACATGAGAGCAAATGACAGTATGCAGAACATGGCCCATCGTGGTGCAGTGCCTATCTGCACCAGCCGCAGTCCTACACTAAACACCACGGGCCCCTTGTGAGCCAGGACAGCAAGACAGAGCTGCACGGTAGTTGGTACTGTTGTCTGTAGCCCAACAGCCAGACCTTCAAACACTGAGTGGAAGGAGAGTGAGAGCAAGAGAATGAGGGCTCGAAAGGGCTTCCGCGAGAGTGAGGGTAAAGATGAGGGTCTGTGGCTGTGGAATCCATGGATGTGAGCCTCACTCACTTCCTCCTCCTGCACTTTTGGTTTTCCAATGGTTTCAGGACAGCACTGCAATGCCAGCGACTCCAAAGAGAAGACAAAGAAGAAGCCCAGGGAGATGATGAGCCCTCCATAGGAATATTCCTTCTGGGAACAGAGAGAGGGGCTGTGGGATGGGAAAGGAAGGAAGTGCAGTGGATGGAGGTGTGGAGATGGGATGGGAGACTGGAGAGAATGGGAAATGTGGGACTAGAACTTTAAAAAGGGTAGGTGGACTGACTGGTGTAGCTCATTGGTTGAGCGTCCACCCATGAACCATGGTTGAATTCCTGATGAGGGCACATGCCTGGTTTGGGAGCGCAGTCCCCAGTAGAGGGCATACTGGAGGTAGATGATCAATGATTCTCTCTCATCATTGATTTTTCTACCTCTCTCCCTCTCCCTTTCTCTCTCTCAAATGAATAAAAGTAAATTTAAAAAGGGGGCAGGGGGATAAGGGAATGAAGGCTGGAGGAGATATGGACATGCAACAAGAATACCAGAGGGACCAAGGTTGCAGTATCAGTAGGGTTGAAATGTGGGAAAACGATGGGGAGCATGTCTAAGGGTCTAGGGCAGTGGTCGGCAAACTGCAGCTCGTGAGCCACATGCGGGTCTTTGGCCCCTTGAGTGTGGCTCTTCCACAAAATACCACATGTGGGCGCGCATGTACAGTGCTATTGAAACTTCGTGGCCCATGAGCAGACGTCAGTATTTTGTGGAAGAGCCACACTCAAGGGGCCAAAGAGCCGCAGTTTGCCAACCACTGGTCTAGGGAAAGAAGGAAAGAGTAAAGCCAGAGCTTTGTCTGGGGTTCCATAAACCCAAAAGTATCGGGGTTGGCTCCTCCTTTCTCTACAGTGTCTGAGCTGAGGAGCAGAGGGATTCCTGGTATTCCTCACGTCCTCTCCTCAAAAGGATCTGGGTATGAAGAGTCTCTGGTTCTCCTCACCCTCCAGGTTGGGTGTGAGAAAATACTTACAGAAGCTGAATTAGGATCTCCAGAAGAATTTCCTCCACTGTTCTAGGGAGAAAAAAAGCAGAAAATAGATGAGGGATGGAGCAGCTCCGCTTCCTGCCCTCTTCCTTCAGCTCCACTGCTTTCCTTACAGTCTAATCTGACCTGTCATCATGATTCCACACAACACAGAGCTGTCATTGTCTCTATTGTTCCACCCACGTCCTTTGCTCTATCACTTTCCCCACTTTCTCCCCTTGGTTCTGCTCATCATCTGGCTTCTTAGCCCTACACCTCAGCTGCTCACCTTCACCCGGAGCTGCCGGATCTCGAATTCAATATTCTCCAGGGCTTCAACAGTCATGTGCATGAAACCTGCTCCCAGGAAAACGCCTGCAGAAACGCAGCTCAGGAGGCTGAAGCCCCGCGGGAGTTGACCTAATGAAAAGCAGGAGTTATAACCAGTTGGCAATGAGAAGATGGACAAAGGTGACTAACGAGCAACAAGGAGCACTCAATATCCAAGCATGGGGATGGCAAGAGAATCAGAGCGAGTGTAAGGGTAGGGTGATAGGGTTGAAGTCAGGTTATGGGGGCAAAGATACAGAAGGGCTATACCTTTGAATGTCTCAATCTGGAAACATTTGAAGCAGATGGGAATAAGGCCACAGACCAGCGTGACAACCAGCATGGCAAAGAGGCAGCCAATTTTTACTTCTAGTACTGGCTCCATCCTTGGGGTACAGGATAAGCAGACCTCAGAATGACAAATGTAGTTACAAGCTTTGGAGCAGGAGTGGTGCCTTAGGTGGTCAAATCTGTAGTGTCCACTCCTGAGCCTCAGGAAGCTGTTGGATTCTCTTTGTTTTGTGCTGCCTAATTGCGCAGCCTTGCATAGCTGGCTGGGGCCCTGCCTCATCTTCCTGCCCTCCCCCTACATGGAGGCCCCTCCCCTGGCTCATGCCTTCTGAACTTGGAAACCAGAAACTCCAGACTCCCTGCCAGGCACAGCCCTGTGCTCTGTCTTCTCTTCAGTTCCATGACTAATCCAAGGGCTGTGGACAGACTTAGTTCATGCCTGGGGCTGGTCTAATCCAAAATGGCACAGTCTATGGTGCTACTTCCCAGCTATTTTGTGTTGGAGACAATCTGGTCCTGGCTCACTCAGGACATTTGATCTAAGCCTTCCATACCCTCCCCACCCCAATGCAAGTCTTATAGGCTGCTATGCTGATACCTGAACCTTACCCTTTCAGAGGGGATTTGGGGCCACCTGGGGTTAAGGAGGTGGGGCTAAGGAGTGGTGCTGCTGCCACTGTGGGAATTAGTGGATGAGGGGACTCCCCTTGCCTGTAACCCCAGAAAAATAGCTCCAGGTATGGAAATGTCTATGGGAGTTGAGATTTCTAGTATTACAACACTGAAACTGTTACCGCTTCTGACTGTGCCTACTTCCTGATATACGTTGTGGGAGAGGGACTGAGAGTTTTATTACACAGAAAGTTGCTCTAGCTCTGAAACAGTAAGGTCTAGGGGAACACAGAAATGAACCCAGTAAATGAAAGTCTCTGCCTGGACATACTGTTGTTGAGATAGATGACTCAGTCCTGAAGGGATAGTTTCTTGAGGGACATTCATGATGCAAACTCTGGGGAGCTGATGAACCCTGAAAGAGATAAAAGGAAAGGAAGGAGGGAGAAAAACAGAGGCCAGGCAGCTGCTTGCTAGTCACCTATCCAGGTGGCCCGTCTAACTACCCTGAGACCTGTTGAGCCAGTTCTCAGAGCGCTGGGGGCGGTGTTCCCCACTACCCATTACTTCCCTGGGAAGTCCTGGTCTCTGGGAGAAGCAGCAGTATTCTTACAGGAGGGGCTGAGCTTGAGGTTTCTGTGGGGAGACAGGCATTGAATCTCTGAGGACTCACTTCGTTACTGGATAGGCCGTGATGACTGACCTCTATACCTTTTAAGAATCACAAGACTTATTCCCATTCTTTGAAAAGTTATAATTCTTATTAAAACTTCAAACAAATGCAGATATATAGGAGTACCAGCACTCCTGTTACCATGAACAGTCAGTTGGAGCGCTGAGGAGTCTCCTCATTGGCCAAAATGGCGCAGAGGGCGGGTCTTACACTGAACGCGCCAAAGGCTGGAAAGATGAATAGGCAGGCCCTGGCGCTTGGCAAGCTAAAAAGACCAATGGACTGGACTCAAGGAAGATGAATGGACAGGGCCTGAGCTGGGCCCAAAGCTCGAAATGTGAATGGACAGGGCCCCAGAGAGCTGTAATCTAGCAAAATAATTGGGTAGAAAAATAAAAAGCCCTCCTCTCCCTATTACTGTAAGAACCACAGCTTGAGCAGGAAAGGGGGATGGTCTTTGAGACAGAAGTCTACCATTCTCACAGGTTGAGCAGCACCAGAATAAAACCCCTTTCCTTCTGCACCTGTCTCATGAGTTTGGCTTTCCTTGTGGCAGGTATTAAACCTGTGTTTTTCGTTACACTCCCATCCTGGATACCAGGTGGCTTTAGCCTTGTCAGGCACGATGCAGGAAAACTCTTGTTACACATCCTTGTTAACTCTCAGGGGGATCTTCAACAGGGGACGGAAGAAGCTCAGGCGGCGTGGTCACAGGTGAAAGATCTCCCCAGGAGCTGACACGGGCACAGCGATACAAATCCCTATGAAAAAGAGAGGTCAATGTGGGGGGTGGGTTCCTGCCACCTCCCACTAATAGTGGTCACAGCCTCCGTACCTGCCATGGCGGCGGGCTGTGAGCACAGCATGCTGCATATGCCCATCTGGACAGCACAGGTGACAGTGCACATGGCGTGGCCATTTAAGGACAGGCTGAGTGATCCGGGGCCAGCGATTAGCTTCCTCTGGAGACCCCCGGGCAAGGATTACCATTGAGAACTTTTCCTCCTTTGGCTTCTTGCTCTAAGGTAAGGATAGAGGGACTGTTTTGGGGGAAAAGATGTGGGGAAAATGTTGACCCCCATTACTGCAACCCTTTTCATATTCTAGGTCAGTGATGGCGAACCTATGACACGCGTGTCAGAGGTGACACACGAACTCATTTTTTTGGTTGATTTTTCTTTGTTAAATGGCATTTAAATATATAAAATAAATATCAAAAATATAAGTCTTTGTTTTACTATGGTTGCAAATATCAAAAAATTTCTATATGTGACACGGCACCAGAGTTAAGTTAGGGTTTTTCAAAATGCTGACACGCCGAGCTCAAAAGGTTCCCCATCACTGTTCTAGGTCATGCATATTCAGGCCCTACAAATGCTCTCAGAATTTTCCAACTCCTCCCACCTGGTTCTTTTTCATCCTGCTTTCCCAAGCTACCTCCCCCCTGCTGCAATATTCCCAGGTACATACCCAGCTGAAGGGGATGGGATGGTAAGCCTGGGAAAAGCTACAGGCCAGGGGCTTAGAGGCTGTCAACTGGTGACAAGGAAGTTCATGGGGACACTGGAAACACACATGAAAAATATGAGGTAAGATGAAAGAACCACAGATCATAAAACTGGGAAACTAAGGGTGCTAGGGTCAGGAAGGGCTAGGGGTAAGGGAGCACAGGAGCAGGGAGGTAGGGAGAGCAGGGGATCCACTAAGAAGAAATCGGATCAGGACACAAAGCAGTGGAGGGAGGCTTAGCTTTGCCCTCTCACTTGCCCTGGACACAGCTGAGCTCAGCTCTTTGCATGCTGGGAAAGGCAGAAGCAATACTCACTGGGGCAAAGACAAAACCAGGTCGAGGGTCCAGAGGTGACTTCTCCTTTCCCTGAAATCAAAGGAAATAAAAAAATTAAGCTGGACCTGCAGGGTCTATTCTCATAAGTCAATCTCTGCTCTCAATTGAGGACTTCTTTAACATCCGATTCTGGTAATTACTAACTATGTTCTTTGAGTTAAACTGGCTACTTCTCCAATACTCCAAACAAAGAACTTTCTCTTTGCAGCAGGAGAAAGGCAGGAACTTGGCACATAGAATGGTGCTCTTCTTGTCAGCAACCTCCACTCTCAAAAAAATCCCATTCCAGGACAATTAAATTCATGATTTTATACTGGTTCATACAGTCCTAGAGATAAGGTTTTTGGCTCAGCCATGTCCTAGATCAGGGATCAGCAACCTTTTTTAAAGGCTCAGAGAGTAGCCAAATGTGTTTGTGTCCCAACTATTCATCTCTGCCATTTGTAGTGTGAAGGTAGCCATACAAAAAGACACTCAAATAAGCCTGGCTCATACAAATCCTGGCAGGCAGGATTTGATCCACAGGCCCTACTTTGCCAACCACCACCCTACATCATGATGAGTTTACATGGTGTTAACATAAAAAAAAACACTGAAACCTGTAAAGAATTTTGTGAGTTTATTTGAGCCAAACTGTCAACATATGCCGGGAAGCAGAACCTCAACGAATTGAGATAATGCTCCAGAGAATGGCGGGTTACATCTGTATTTATACATTGCAATAATAATTAAAAAAAAGGACGTAGGTGGGCTACATGAAATTCATTGATGATAGATTAGGTAGGGTAAAAAGTAAAATGATGGACATGTGCTTCTTTTACACAGATGGATACAGGATAGTTTTACATAATTAACAGTTGACAATTAACTTGATAACAATAACAATGAAGGAATGTCCTGGTGCCATTTGTTTTGCCCTGAGGGGTCTGGAAAAAAAGGGAAGTTACAAGTTACCCTGTGATCTCACCAATATGTTATCTTAAAGGCAAAAATACAAATGGGCTCAGTAAAGATTTAAGTTGATCTTTGTCAGGGAAAATACTGGCCTAGGACATGACTACCCACCATAACCTGTTTGCAGTTAAATATTTAATTTCAGACCATCCTTTGTGGTTATTTTAGGTCTTTGAGTTTGTACAACCGCCATGCAGGCCTTCCCTGAACTAGTCAGTTTAGCATATGGTCCGTTTCATCCACACAGCCTACTCTCCTGAGAGTCACTTACCTTTGTACGACAGTTTTTTCAGTTTTCAAGGGAGTACTGGTAATTGGTGACAGATAGGTAGGGGTTGGGGGAAGAGAAGGAGAAAGAACCTTACCTTAAGGACCAGGTCCCTGGCTTCCATGAGAAGGCAGTGCCCAGCTTTTGTTCCATTCTCCACCAATATCTGTTCACAAAGGGGAAAATGAGCAGAAGCCCTGAATTATATGAAAACATATGAAGGGAACCAAACAAAGTTTTGCCACCCAAAAGCTACTGAAACAGGATTTTTTAAGGGTGAAAAAAAAACAGGTTTAGGGAATTTTAGAAATTAAGGGGATCATGGAAGAAGCACAGGGCTGCAGAGCAGCAGAAAGTATATTTCCATAGAATAGGGAAGCTAAAAAGCTGCAACAGGTACATTTCCATAGAATGAGGGAGCTGGGAACAGCAAAAGGTCTAGATCTACAAAATAAAGAGAAGAAAGCCCTTCATCCAGAAGGAGAAGAAGAAACCCCAAAGGTAATAGGAAAACAATAATAAAGGAGGGGAGGAAAAACCTCCTGTGTCCCAAGTGAGGTTCCACCTTTGAGCTCAGGAGTTACTGTAGTAACCAGTCTAAGGGAATAGTGAGCAATCAGAGGGGATATCATGGCACCAAGATCTGCAGTCTTTATAAATCATGGAAAAGGGAACTCTGTGGGGCCCTTTTCCCCTCCCTACGTGGGAGTCTGTACTTGTTCTTTAATAAGTTTTCACCTTTGCTATACCACCTCTGTCTGTGGATTCATTCGTTGACTCCGACAGACAAAGAATCCAGGACATCATGCCCAGTCCAAAAATTCTGCTTCACTACCTTTTCGAAATACTGATTTTAAGCTTTTTTTTTTTTTTAAACAAAAGACTCAGAAAGAATCTTTGATCCTCCCATTTCCTGCCTCAGAGATTTAAATGCAAAGGCTACTCTAGGAAGGGAATCTTGGGATATGTCTTAGTCTAATTTGAATTCAGTATGTTGGGTGAGAGGGTTCAGGCAGGGATACCCTGTTAGCTAGATACCCCCTGCCCCATTGTTTCTGAGTGGCCCAGCAACAATTTGCCTGCCATGTGTGTTCTACGCTTCCTCAACTTCCTGTAAATTGCCCATTCTCACTTCTAAAATCCATGTCCCCCACTTTTCTTCTTTGTCCAAAATGCCATATACTATTATACTCAATGGTGCTTTACTGCCTTTGGAATTTTTATGCCTATGTGAATTACTCATGCGCTTGTGAGAGACTGTTATGCCCAGATTTCAGGATCCCCAAGAGACCACCAGGGAGCCAGCCGTGTCCGATGCAAAAGCATAAGAGTCTTTATTCGAGCTAGCTCGGGCTCCCCATCTACCACACTCGCCGACGCAGCGGCAAGAGGCAGAGAGAGCCAGCTTTGTGGGTAGAGGGGTTTTATAGGGGGGTTGGAGTTAGGGGAGGAGAGGGGACTGTGGGCCCTGCCGATTGGCCAGGCGCAAGTCGGTGTCTTGTTACACAGGATGTGGTTGTGTCTATGGTGCGCACTTCCCTTAATTATTATTGGTTAGTTTAAAGAAATCCTAGGTGTGGCTAGCAGAGGCTTGGGCTTCCGGGAAGAAGCTCCTTGCTGAGCACATGGCTGCCCCAAAATGGAGGATTCAGGGCAATATGGAGGGCGTAACCCTCACCCTTTCAAGACCAGTCAGGAGCCGAAAACCAGGATTACAGGCTTTATTAGGGGAAAAAGACCTGCTGGTCTGTCTTGCAGGGGGAGAACAGCAACCCATGCAGAGGTGAACACACCTTTTGAGGGGTGGAATGGGAAGGAATGGGGGCTTAGTGTACTCAGCGCGTGCTGATTGGTGGCTTAATGTATGGTCCATATAGGAACAAGGGCTTAGGGTATTTGGCAGGTATTGATTGGTGGTTCAATGTATAGTCCATATAAGGTACATAGTTAGTCACTCAGGTATTTCCGGGCTGCAGGTTACATCATACTCCACCCACCAGTTGGGGGAAGGGAGGATCTATCAGCTGTTATTAAAATTTTATTTTTTTCCCTGTTAACCTATCTGTTAATTAGTAGCCCAGCTAGAAGACCTTAGAACGGCGGTTCTCAACCTGTGGGTTGCAACCCCATTGGCGGTTGAACGACCCTTTCACAAGGGTCGCCTAAGACCATCCTGCATATCAGATATTTACATTATGATTCATAACAGTAGCAACATTACAGTTATGAAGTAGCACCGAAAATAATTTTATGGTTGGGTCACAACATGAGGAACTGTATTTAAAGGGCCAGAAGGTTGAGAACCATTGCCTTAGAACAGGGGTGGGCAAACTTTTTGACTCGAGGGCCACAATGGGTTCTTAAACTGGACCGGAGGGCCTGAACTAAAGCATGGATGGACTGTTTGTGTGAACTAATATAAATTCAAAGTAAACATCATTACATAAAAGGGTACAGTCTTTTTTTTTTTTTCTAGTTTTATTCATTTCAAACGGCCGGATCCGGCCCGCTGGCCGTAGTTTGCCCAAGGCTGCTTTAGAAGGTGGGAACAAAAGTATTATTATTATTATTATTATTATTATTTTTTAGCTCCCATACATGAATGTCAGTAGCTCTGTAAGAGCATTCACAGATGGAATAGCAGTCCTAAAGGAAGTGGCAGTATATATAAGATTGGGATGGTGACCCTACAAGAGGGACCAAGGAATCTATGCATGAGAAAAAATGATCAAGAATGCAGACAAGCTCCAATGTAGAGATGGAAAGGAATGAAACCCATGAAGCTGCTTTAAAACTTGAAGGGAAAAGTAGGTTTTTACTCACCAGAAAATCATTTGTCTTGCACCACAAGGTTTATAGACAAGTCAGCCAGTTCACTTAGGGAAAAGGCTGATACCACCACATTGAACTGTACCTGAGGACCAAGACAAAGAACATGACAGACCTGCCATCTCCCCCTTCCTAGAGCACAATAAAGTTCTATCTCCCTAAATGTATTCTGTTGTCTTTTATCTTCTAACACTCAATGCTGGTTTGCAAAGCTGAGGTCAGTTTCCAGTCTGCCAAATTCTATATTTAGCATACTCTACATATTGCCACTTGCTTTAAGTGATACAGGTAGAAACTGTCTGCAAAAGACACCTGGTACCTACGGCTTCCTATTTTCTGAACCACCTATGGAGGAAGGCACAGGTGTGGCAACTGTGAGTGTGTAGGTATAAACTGAAGTTATATCCTGATAAGAACGTGGCCCTGAGAATAAAGAAAAATGCTAGGCGAGAGGGAGATAAAGGAGGATGAAGGGGTTCAACTGGCCTCCCCAGGAGGAACCACTTTGGCATGTGGATTATTTTGAGCTGAAGGCAATCGAGACTCTGTGGGCTCAAGAAACATTTTTTACCTCTCCTTAAAAAAGTTTAAATGGAGGGTCTTGCCCATAATAAGAGTTATTACCAGAAATAACTTTTTATGACCTATCTATAGGGCAGGGCAAACTTCTAATTACTGAACATCTGCTCTTTTTATCTATCTGAGTAGTTCCTTCCTCCCCTCAGAAGCCTCAGGGTACCTTACCTAATTCTTTAGTTCAGCGGTTCTCAACTTGTGGGTCGCGACCCTTTGGGGGTCGAACGACCCTTTCACAGGGGTCACCTAAGACCATCGGAAAACACATATATAATTACATATTGTGTTTGTGATTAATCACTATGCTTTAATTATGTTCAATTTGTAACAATGAAATACATCCTGCACATCAGATATTTACATTATGATTCATAACAGTAGCAAAATTACAGTTATGAAGTAGCAACGAAAATAATTTTATGGTTGGGGGTCACCACAACATGAGGAACTGTATTAGAGGGTCATGGCATTAGGAAGGTTGAGAACCACTGCTTTAATTGTTTGTCACATATACCTCATTTTACCTTTCTGTCTCTGAACCTCTCCTATATACGGGTTTCTGTATATCTGTATGTAATTAAGTTTTATTATTTTTTTTCTTGTTAATTTGCCTCATGTCAATTTAATTATTAGACCAGTCCATATAACCTAGAAGGGTACAGGAAAATTTTCCCTCCCTCACAAAGGTAAACAAATATTAAAAACACAGGGAGAATATTGGGTCGCCTGTCATGTTAATCTTAACCAACATATCCACTTGAAGTGTGTTTCAAAATGTATCTTTGAGAAAACCTTACTGAGCAAGATTAGGCACTGTAGGCCAGGGGACCGATTTTTTCCTCTTGCTGCTATGGATTCCTGGGAAATATTGGGTTGCTCCCTCTCTGAATCAGGGGCCAGGATGAACACAACAGAAGTGTGGCTCTCTTGAGAGTGGGGTCTATTACCTGGGGTGGCCTGTGATAGCAGCTGAAAGGACAGCCTATCTCTTGGGACAGGAGCAAAGCTACTGCTTGGATAAAAAGGCACATGGGTGTCCGTTTAAGGACAGGCTGAGCGATCCGGGGCCAGCTAAAAGGTGTACCATTTATACCTTTTTAAGGCCAAAGGGAGAGACATTGACCTCTGTGCAGGTTTGGGGTAAGACTTGTGCAGTAAGTTATAAGAATATTTGGCTTCCCAAGATTATAAGACTTGGTGGTGAAATTGACATTTACAGGAGCCCTGGAAGGCTGCACTCAGAGACCACGTTTTATAAAGTAGTAGCGTAAGTAGGTATGAAGTTTTCATTGTCACATTTATTCAGTCATTTTCTCCTGAACATAAGATACTTTAACAGAAGGTGCTTCTAGAACCCAGCCAGGCAGAGTTACTAAGGCACCCCAATTGGGAGGGGAAGGAAGGGCATTCATGAGAGAGGCATCAACTTAAAATGTATGGATATTGCTAAGACAGGCAGCGTGCAGATAACCGATCACAAGGCAGTAAGGCATATAAACCAATTCAAAGGATATTGCTAAGGCAGAATTATTTGAAAAGACCAATTAAGAGTTAGCAAGACTACTCATCCTCTAAATTAAAAGGTGCACACTTCTCTCTCTCTCTCTTCTCCCTGGATCTACAACGCAATAGGTTCCTGACATTCATTCCTGTGGCAGGGGAGCACATCCTTGCATCCACGTGGGTTATGGCCACGTGGGCCTCCACACATGGACTATTAGACTCAAATTAGCTTGGGTACTAAACTACTCCCGACTGTAATGTGGAAAGGAAGTTCCTAACACTGGTCTGTTCTTGAAAACCCAGCTACACCTTTTCCAGGACTGGCTGCTCCCAATAAACTTTGGTTCCATTAATCGTTTTTGTCCGGGACTTCATTCTTTTATTTTCGGGAGACAAGAACTCGGGCTCAAACAACACCCACATTTTTGGTATCAAAGTTATATATAACATCATGTAGTCATAGTGTAAAGGCTAATGTAAGGACATAACATAAATAATGGGCTTTGAATTAAAATTCTCATTATCTATTATACTAGTACTTTATTAAAATGACCCACTTTATGAAGTTAAGGAAGTTGTCATGCTAAATGACATACGTGAGTTATAAAAATAATTGAGGGTAAAATAGTGTTATAAATTGAGAGGTATAGGCTTCCAGATATACATATTAAATCTCTTTGAAAAATTAGGAATGTAGACTCAGTTTTGTTTGTTTGTATTTTGTTAATCCTCACTCGAGGTTATTTTTTCCATTAATTTTTTTATTTTTTTATTTTAGAGAGAGTGGAAGGGAGGAAAGAGGGAGAGAGAGAGAGAGAGAGAGAGAGAGAGAGAGAGAGAGAAACATCAAAGTGAGAGAGACACATCGATTGGTTGCTTCCCACACATGCTCTGACTGGGGCTGGAGATCAAACCCAAATCCAAGGTACGTGCCCTTGACCGGGAATTGAACCCTCAAACCTTCAGTCCTCAGACCAATGCTCCAACCACTGAGCAAACTAGCCAGGGCTAGATTCAATTCTGGAATCAAAGAACAAAATACAGAAAGTGAATTTGTCCCCCCACCCCCTGAATAATATTTAAATTGAATGTGCAAAGTTGATGTATCATTCTCTCTTCCATCTGTTCGTTTGGGAAGAGTTTTTACAAACTCCAGAAATTTGACTAATTAAATCTTCCAGAGCTTGTTTAAGTCTAAGGCTGCTTCCAGCAATGACTGGATACAGAAGGGAAATGGAACTCCTGTGATAAGGGACTTTAGTTTGAGGACTCTCCAGTGACCTTGCCAAACACTCCTTAGAATTGCATAACAGTCTAGGATGTTTTCGGCTTTCCTTCCCTCTCTGGATTCACATCATGTTCTGATGGCTCTCTCAGCCTCAACCTACTCCCTTCCCACTTTTTGTTGTCTTTTGGCTTCTGCTTTTCAGACTCACACATGATTGAAGTCATGGGGTAGGTTAATTATTTGAGGAGAGTTATGGAAAAAAGAAATGCTTACAGGTCATGAACTATAGGGAGTGAGGTAGAGAGTACCAGGGGAAAAGGCTAAAAAGAGAGTTAAATAAGCAGGCAAACAACCAAGGAAACTGGTGTTTCAGAATGAGCCATTATGAGTGTATTTCCTTCCAGAGCTTTTTTCTAAGCATGATGAAAGTTTAAAATTTACTAAGAAGAAATAAGAAGGCTTCTCAAACTAGAGAAGGAAAAAAGAGAGCAGCTGAGGTCAGGAGTGGTTTGATTGACTTTTTAAAAATTCAATACTTAAAGGCAAGGTAAACAGCCAATTAATTAAGATAAAAAGGAATATTACAATATGTACATGTAAGAAATCATTATGTTGTACACCTTAAAATTACCCAATATTATATGGCAATTATATCTCGATCAACCTGGAAGGAAAATATTTATGTAAGGGGAACTGCATGTGCAAAGGCCCTGGACAATACATTTGCTTTGAGTGATAAAATAAAACAAAATAACATAGAATCAATAGAAAAAATATATTTTACCTGTTCTACTTCATAGGAATAAACATCTCTAAAAAATTATATACTACTAAGGAAGGGCACTTCTGTTTTCACACATATATTACTTCCACTGTTTTTTATATATCCTTCCCTTTTTATCTATAATAATAAAAGCATAATATGCTAATTAGACCGAAGTCCTTCCAGACAAACACAGGGCTGTGAGTGAAGCCCAGGTCCTGGGTGCCAGAGGGAAGACAGTGCCAGCAGACGGAGGAAGGAAGGCCTACTCTTGCACGAATTTCATGCATCAGGCCTCTAGTCCTTATTATATAATAATAGAAGTATTATATTAAGTATTATATAGATATTATGTAATAAATACGATTTTATATAATAAGTATTATAAATAATAATAATATTTATATCATTATTATAGCATTTGGCAAATATATCACATAAAAGTCATATGTGAATGTGGATGGATGGATACTATGCTTGCCCTAATCATGAGAACTAATGTAGAAATAGTTAAACTAAAATAAAAATCAGTGCAACATTGACAAGAGTTATTAAAAGTTACTTTAAAGAGAGAAGAGGGCCGCTAGACCATCTAAAGAAAGACCATGTCAAATAGAAATGAAATCAGCAATAGAAGCAGAACAAGAAGCAAGTCACCACAGCCCAACTCTTCAAGGGCTCATTCAAGGAAAAACAACAAAGAGGTGTCTGTGATAGTTTTATGTGTCAACTTGCAAGGGCCATGGGATACTCACACTTATAATCAAACACTATTCTAGGTAAGTCTGGGAAGTGTTTCTGGATAAAAGTAACATTATTTTATTTATTTATTTATTTTTACACTTGGGCTTCTTTCACCCAGCTGTGAGCTGAGATGGCAATAGGTCAAGACACACACTGTCTCTATCTCCATGGTGCCCACTGTCAGGCAGAGCAGA